CGAGAACTTATGTATTGTAGTAATCTTTCCACCAAGTGTCGAACTCTTTGGTGCAAAGGAAATATGGTTTGAAGGCTACAAGGGTGAATTGTGTAAGGCTAGTATATTTAGTCACTGATCTGTTACACTCTGCTTCAGTGTGGATCATATTGTAATGAATCAAAGAACCTTTCTTATGGGAAAAGTGGTTTTGGTTTGATTTGGATAAGACCAAACTGTCAAGTTACGAGGTTTGGTTGGTAGTTAATGAGGGTAAATCAAAGCCTTGAAGGATTCAGTCTTATGGCTAACAATCTTAGGTTCGGGAAAGCTTCCCATGTATCAAGGGAATCCGCTTCTTGGTCTTTTGACTGAGCTAGGAATCTTCTGGTAAACCACTTAGGGCCAACTATCATATCTGCAAAAGGAGTCATACTGGGTGAAAAGTTATACCGTTTGGCAAACATCATCACATAGCTAGTGAAGGTTTGCTGAATATTTAACCCTTCATTACTTGAGGTTAGCATAACAAGCCTTGTGCCTTCAACTCTTCTGTTCTTTACTTCGACAGATTCTTTATTGGTAGGGTTACGAACAGGAAGGAATTTTTTGAACGTGGCATTTAGCCATAGTTGTAGTAGCCAAGAAGGGCCAAAGAGAAGTAGTTTTCCTTTGGACTTAAGGGTCTTCAGTGTTGTAACGCCTTCCCTTAAAGATTCATAAAGGTTGGCTAGGATCATTTCACCTTTTAATCCATCAATCTTTTAATCACTATACACAACATTCATAGCTTACTCCTGGGCTTCCTTACAGTGAGACCTATTCGATCAACTATTTCTAGTTGTTCGTTTAGAAGACTAACCCACTTTGCTAGTGCACATGATTAAATTCAATTCATTTATTTTCCTTTACTTATATCTTGTCTTGTATGATTTGAATCGAAACCCTAAGATACAAACCGTTATCACTTGTAAGTCGAGTGCTTTTTCCTCGCCATCAACCTTACCCTTCACATTAGGACCTCCTTACCGTTTAGTTCAAACCATTAACCCTTCACCACTTCAAATGCAAATTCAAACCTCGATCAACATCGAGCATTTTTTTCAAAGTCAAATCAATTAACTTAACTATACTTAAACTATATTTCAATAAAAGATGAAAAGGGAGTGGGAATGGAATCTTCCATTTCACTCCTTAATTGTTTGGGTCCGAGGAACCTTTCTTACGCTCGAACAATTGTCTTCTTTAAAATATTCATAACTCATTAAATCTATTTTTCTCAATACTTAGATGAAAAAGTGAAAGAGTCAAGTCTTTGACTCATTTTCCCGATTATTTGGGTCCGATGAGCCTTTCTTAAGCTTCAAGTAATTGTCATCCGTTTAATCTACTCTAACTATATCAAAACTCTTTCATAATTAAGGGTGAAAAAGAGAGAGAGAGTTGGATCTTCGATTCACTTTCCCGACTACTCGAGCCCGAGGAGCCTTTCTTAAGCTTCGAGTGATTGTCGTCCGTTTAATTTACTTTAACTATCTTCCATCATTCAAAACACTTTCCAAACATAACATCTTTTCAAGATGGAAAAGAGAGAGAGTCAATTCTTTAACCCATTCTCCTGATTACTTTGGCCCGGGGATCCTTTCTTAAGCCTCGAGTAATCGTCATTCGATCAAAACATCAACACATTAATTCAACTTCTCGTCGACGTGCGAACCGTCAAACCGTTTCATAAACGTGAGATATGGTGTCTAGAGACGACGCAAAATATTGCTTCATCCGTAACCTATTTAAGTCGAGATAAGTGGCGTGTTTCCCATAAATGTTGATATATGGAAATCCATTCAAAGTGATGCAAGCGTCCTCTTCTCACCCGTTTGGGTAAAGCAATATTTTCTGTCGAATGCGACTAAGTATCTTTCGATAGAATCAAACCAATATCCATAGTCCGAACTACAGACACTCTGATTTTTCAATGAGAATACGTAGGCATATGATTACGAGATCCTAGCAAGCAACCTCTTCTCTTTTCTACCGTAGTTTCATGAACTACAGACGCTTTGATTCTTCACTTCTTACAAGTGAAGGTACGTAGGTACAAGGGCCTCAATCCTTGGCGAGCACCCTATCTAAAACTAATCTCTTTTCCCTTAGCAACCTAAACCCCTTTACCTTACCTTTTCACTTTACTTTCTTAAAAGAAAACAAACAATTTAACCTAACTTTTCTCACGAATCGAATCAAGAGGTTCCCAATGAGTACAACGGACGCGAGGGGTGCTAATACCTTTCCCTCGCGTAATCGACTCCCGAACCTAGAATTTGGTTGCGATGACCATTTTCTTTCCCTAAAGGTTTTCTTGATATTTTCCTATTCCATATTAGAATGAATAAAGTTCGATGTCGACTTTGTTCGAACGTTTTTTCCGCTTCCATTCGTGAAGGATCTTGCTTTTTTCGAGGTACGACAATTAGACCTAGGTTTTTGACCATTTGCTACAGGATTATAACGATCATAAGCAGGAAAAAATTTGTTAACCTTAGTAGGATCAGCAGAAAGGTTAGGAAGAGGATCTAACATGGCATGTGTTTTGACAGAGACGGGAATGAGTAATTGGGATTGGTAGATTATGTGATTCTCTTCTTCACAAGGTGGTTCAGGATGCGTGATAAAACAGTGATAGTTGATCTGACTCACGATCTCCTAGGGACTAGGTGTGTGATGATTTAAAAGATTCACGCATGGGTTTTTAAGGAGACGTTTGGAAAAGTTGTCATGATGATGATGACGTCATAGCAGAGAATGGGTTTTCTGGCGTCGAATGTGAACTTCAAAAAATTCCTTTTTCTCCTTTTAGTCGAAAATGACATTTTTGGGGAGCAATTTGTTGGCTGGGAATTTCGACGTCAAGCTTTGTTTGAGTTGTTGTTGAATTCGACAGGAGCTTGTGCAAGAATCCTAGTCGAAAAGGTCTTCATAAGGAGGACATGTTGAAAAGACACTTAGAAATATTTTCTAAGTTTGAGTAGTAACTTCGACGGAGGGTGTATGTGACTCTCTTTTGACAGTTGTTTTGAAATTTAAAATACGGATAATAATTGTCTTTATCCTTATCTGTTTCTCAAGAGAGGATGCGTGGAGAGTTGTGGCGAAATGAAGACATGCAGAGCAAAATGTGTCAATTTTTTGAGGAATATCCGTTGAAGACAATTATTTTCGACATATTATAAATATGAGTCTTAGTGTTTAGGATTTCGTGTGTTCATTGTTGTACATATACTCAAAAAATCACTCAAAGTATCTAAGTCAAGTGAGAAAAGAGTTTTCATTGAGAAATGTACGTTTGAAACACCACATTTATTTCAATTGAAATTTACTTCCACTTTACTATTTATTTCTTTGCTACACTTTTACTTTGAAGTTTATCTTTATTGCAATTTTACAATTTTGCAAGGTTATCTTTTCAAAACTTTTAAACAATCTTTCACAAGTATGAGCACTATTGAAGTGTTCTTGACATTTTCAGAAATTATTTTGACAATAGCTATGTCCTAAGGATTCACTGGTTGATGCTACAAGTAAACCATTTTTTGAAATACTAGTGATTGTTTACCAATTTTCACGGTAAACAACATCATATCTAATGAAAACAATTACCACAAAACAGTAAATAAGCGCTAATTTTGTAAATAAAGCTGAAAAAATGAACACAGACAGATACCAGAAATGCATTTCCGGGTAAGTTCATACTCATTCTGAAAATGTATCTCTGGAATAAACGCAAGTTTTTCATATAGAAAATAAGATTAATGTGAGCAATGAGTTTTGAAATAAATTATCTTTACCTGAAATTCCAACTTCTTTTACTCCATTTGATGAGATGAAACACAAGATTGAAGATTTAGAGTGAAAATGTGGATTGAGAATGGAAGGGTTTTTGGTGTGGGTTTTGAGAGAAAAACAAGTATGGTTGTGTGATCATGCGGCTCTCTATGTTTTATCAATTATTTCGGAGACATGTCTCCGAAAATATCTAATCTGCAAAAGTGATAACAAATTTCGAAATCTCATCCTAAATTTTCGAAGATGTATCACCGGAATATCTACTGGACTGATAAACTATCAACGATATATTGAAAATTTTAGAGATGTATCTCCGGAATTTTTTTAGTATTCATCTAAAGTGACACTCATTTTGATGCATCATAGCATTAGTGTATGGTGCGTCCGAATATATATATATATCACCGAAATCTAAAAGACATGATACTAATTAAAGAATTCCCTAAATAGTTGTGTCACTGATATTAAAATTTTGACATTTTTAATAACGTTGTTATTTCAAAACTCTTGATTCGATGCACTCTACTCACCAACCGAACTATCTACTTTGAATATTATCTTTTGTTCATAATATTTGTGTAGAGTATATTATAATATGATTAAGTAATTTTTTATGCATCTAATTCTCCAAGTATTGTTAATCTACAGATATTGTCCTTGGCATACTTGCATTATTCTTGGTGTTTGTTTGGAAACCCTAAAGATTGTGATGAGAAAAACTAAAAATCAAGAAGCTTCAAATGGATTATTCTTTTTTGAGATAAGACTGTTGAAAGGTAAAGAGAATATTGATTTTGTTCCTGAATACTTTTTATAAAGTGCATAAAATCATATGCTTCTCTGGTAAGTATCACCTATTTCAAATGTGCATTTATAAATAAAAGGAAAGGGAAATATTTCATCTTTTTAAGGCCTAGTGGTTCTGTGCTGGTATCACTTCACCGTTTTAGACTGAGATATCTTCCTCTCATTCTAAATGTTTTTCATCAAAACAGTAAAAAAAAAAAATGACTTCTAGTTCTATCATAATTATAAAGTTAAATTTGCAGTTAAATTTGGTTTCTATGTTAATCCATGTTATTATACATTTGCCATGCAAAGTTTATACTACAAATACAATCAATCTCATATCAAGATATGCTAGTCCTCTTTCTACAACAACCATATCATCCCAATCTTCATTCTGATGTTGAATCATTCAGAAATTCATCTAATTTTCTCTTTTTGGATAAGGAAGAAATAGTGAATTGAATATCATCCATGCTAGTTAAATGTTTGAGTACGTGGATTCCACTTTCAACATTATCATCATTCAAATCAGAATCCAAATCAATCGCAATCTTAACTTCCGCACGAATCCATTCATTTTTCGAAAGTGCATCCTCCAACATAGATTTGAATTCTCGGTCTCCCTTTGGTGTATAGTCCGGTAGTTCTAACCAGTTTTTCCTCTCTGAAGAAAATATATATGTATAATCCCGTGGAATATCAAAAGGCATACCAAACTCAGGCTCATCAAGAGTATATGCATAGTCATTGATGAGCAAATAGACTCTTAATCCTGAATCTCTTGTCCCAGGGACCAATTCATGCATTCTTATAGAAGAAAAGAAGAAAACCAAGGAAGGGAAGTTGTTACGGAACGAAAAAGAAATCGAATGTTCTCTTCTTTGATGCTCAAACCACTCGGGAATCAACTCACTTCGTGATGATGGAAAACGAAACTCAGTGCCTCCAGCCTCATGCAGTTCCTATATGTTTTTTAGCATAAGATAAATTACACCATGATGAATCATGAAATATTAAATCAAAGGGTTATGTAAGAAAAACACAATACCTGAATCACTAGCATGCTTTTACTTGATGAAGTCAATGATTCGCACCCAAATGCAGACAATGTTTTAAGATTTGGCGGAATCCCTCTTATTTCTTCAAGATATTGGCAACTATCCAAATAAATGCTCTTTAGAAAGCAACATTTTTTTATGCATTCAGGAAGAATTTTGATTCTGCTACCCCTTATGTTTAAGGTTTCCACATTAGAAAACAGGGTAAGAGTCACTGTTAGAAATTTATGTTTGCTTGTTCGAATAAAAATATCTCTCACATTGGAAGACATCAAGGAACTCATTTCATCATTCGGTTTTGTGAGTAACTGACTATAACCGTGAATATAAACTTGGAACAACTTTGACATCATGGGAATGCTACTAGGAAATTCAAGTTTTCCATGTCCATGTATTGATAAGTTATGAAGTTCGGTAAGATTTTGAAATGAAGATGGGAATTCTTTTATGCCAGTGTCTATCAAAGTTATACTGTTAATATTATTCATCTTGTCCAATATTTCAGGAAATTTCTTGAGACTTGTACAGAATGAAAGTTCTAGCTCTAGAAGAGAGTTCAACTTTAAAGGTGGAAAACTAGATAACTTGTCACAACCCTCAGCATTCAAGATTTGAAGCTTATTGAGGAACCCAATAGACTCATCAATTGAAATTAAATTCTCGCACTTTTTGAATGAAAAAATTTCTAAATTTGGGAGACACGAGACGTCAGATATATCTGTTAAGTATTCACAATAGTCAAATTTTAAGATTTTCATCTTCTCAAATGTCTGCATAAACAAAAATAATAACAAATGAATAATCTCGTATGAATTTATAAATATGCATGATAATAAAAATATATGTATTTGACTTACCTTGTTCGAAATGCTAAAAGGTATACAACCTAAAGGATATCTTGGCCATTCTAATACTCTCAAACCACTTGGAAGATGTCGGGAACCTTTGGAAAAATGACCATTTTTTATGATAAGTGTCCTGAGATTTTTCATCTTCTTGAAGGCATTTCCATTCCAGTCTATAATCGCATCCATTGAAGGAAAATTGAGATGAATCATTTCAATTTTACTAGTTCCCTTTTAACAAAATAAAAACATGAAAAAGTCAGTAAGCCACAGCACAGATATAGAGAAATTTATATGTAATAAGAAACTAGTATGAGATGGTTATATATAACTCCAAAAAGAACAATGTCATGGTTAAAGCTATAAAAACAAATTGCTCATCGATTTCAATCTTACTCACCGAGTTTTCTTTTAAAACGTGGATTATATCATCGTAATACCACAACCTACTACGTTCTCCAAGTTCTTTAGGCGATTCTTGTCGGACGACTTCTTTACCCATGTCCTCTATCAAATCATGTAATGTCACTTTATGACTAGTAATCTTTATGAGAGATTTTTCAGACAACACTCCAACATGATGTTTTATACAATGACCATAATGCGCATTAAGTATATTTTCGACCTCCACCCATCTACCCTCTTTGAAACAACAAGCAATGTCTAGAAAAACACTTTGCTCCTCTTCCTCCAAAGCATCATAGCTTATTCGAAGTATCTTTTGGATTTCTTTATTGGGAATTTTTTCATACCCCTCTAATGTATTCTTCCATTCTTCTATACTCTTCCTAAATAAATTGGAGCCTATTATTTCTATAGCTAATGGAAGTCCAGAAGCATATGTAACTGCACGGTTTAAAATTTCTTTGTAACTTGAAGGAACTTTGTTATTTTTAAAAGCCATCCACCTCAACAATTCAAGAGCTTCTATCCCATATAGCCCTTCCATTTCATACATGCTTTCTATCTCATGACTAGTTAATAAGTGTTTATCTCGAGTGGTAATAATGACTCGAGTTCCACGGCCAAACCAATCAAGTCCTCCAGCCAGAGCTTGCAGTTGCTTGATATTGTCAACATCATCAAGAATCAAAAGAATCTTCTTTCTACACAGCCTTTCCTTTATGATTGGAATCCCCTCACTAACATCTCCTAACTTAATATTCAATCCAATTGTCTTAAAAAGGAGATCTTCCTGGAGATGTTTCAAATTAGTTTTTGTTGAATTCTCTCTCACATTATGAAGGAAGCATAAACCTTCAAACTGATCTGCAATAAAATTAAAAGTTGCTTTTGCAAGTGTTGATTTACCCAAGCCTCCAGTACCATACAGTCCTACCATGTAGACCCCATCATCAGATCCCTTATCAAGAAGCGATTTCACTTGTTTTACTCGGGACTGTAATCCAACAGGGTACTCGGCAACATGTAACGGAACGCGGTTGATCTTGTTAGAGATGTATTTGACTATTTCCCCAATAAACTTGTATTCATATCTATTCATTTCCAAAAAGATAAGTTTGTAAAAATGCATCAGTATCATAATCACATAGTGTCTTAGGACAATAATATTATTCAATTCTAATTGTTTTAACATAAAAATATTTGTCTTTCTAATATAATCTTTAAGAGGGAATAATTGATGAATCAAAATTAAGGAAAGAAAATATAAGAAGTGAAGAGGGGTACGTACCCAGGACTAAAGTGGTAGCCGGAGAAGTTAGCAGCTTGGTTAAGAGCGATCTTCCATTGGTGCAACCGCTCCATGTTTTGCTTATTAATTCGGAACCTCTCTCCATGCTTAGCCAATGCTTCACCATAACTTCCACTCCAATGCCGCACATGAGTAGGTTCCACCCCATAGAAAACAGGCAAAACTAGGCGACCCTTCGACTTGAAGCAATGGATGATGTGGACAAGTTCATCCAAACAAAACGAAGAAGAGGCATAATCTATAGAAAACACGGGAATGAAAATCCTAGACTCTTCAATGGCTTTTATGAGTGCTGGTGTGATTTCATCTCCTCTCTGAAGATCATTGTCATCAATAAACGTGTTGATTCCACTGTCGGTAAGAGCCTTATAGAGATTTCCAGTAAAACCATACCGAGTGTCAGTGCCTCTGAAACTGAGGAATACCTGGTAAGTGAATCCATAGGAAAATGAAGAGGAAGGTGAATGCATAGCCATAAGAATTGAGAACAAAGGACATGGATGAAGATAAATTTGTCTCTTTGTAATAATATAAGAAATGTAACTGTAACTAAAGATAATATGAAACTTCCTTACAACTAGCTACACCTATGTGGACCTTGTTGAAAGAGATGTAACTGAGGAATACCGTGTGGACCCTTCTTCAAAGTTTCAACAATTCAACTTTATTATTCTGTTATTATTATGCTTCTAATCTAAGCCACTTATTCACCGTCCACAGCCAAACTTTTATATTTCAACTTCTACTCTCACATCACTGATGTGAGAATCCCAGCTTTCATTTTTTATTAATCCTTAAAAATTAGTTTTCTTAGAATCTATAATAAAATAAAAGAACAAGCACCAAAAGTAAAATAAAAAATATTTACAATGATTACTCAACATTTGAACCTCTCAATTTTATAGCTGCTTCTCAATGTGTATTTACAAGAAATTATCGACGAATAATATCTTCTAGCAAGCATGTTAAAATCATTAGAAAACGTGATCAGGTAAAAACCAGCATAACCAAACTCATAGTGACATTTCAACAAACATTGTTTGCAAAATTGAAGCTTATACCTAAACATATCCATCAAAACCACGTGAAGAAGAATGAAGAACAGTGGAGCATGATGGCCGGAAAAGCATTACCGCGGAAGGCGGAATGGAGAAAGAGATTGAGTAGTTGCGTGTGTGTAAGAGGAAAGGATGGCCTAAACGTTCTTCAGCTCAAATGACATTAATCTCAAACTTAATTTAAAGGATCCAATAATTATTTTTCTATAAAAAAGTTAAACAAAAGTTAGAGTACTTAGATAAAATAATGTGAGATGTTGGATCGAACTCTAGTATGGTCGAAGGGTAACTTCTGGTTCGACAGGTATTAAGCATGAGGTTGAAGTCTGTTTGCATGCTGCTGTCGAAGATAATGCGTGTTGTAGTCGAAGTCTGTTGTAACATACATTAGTCAATATTGCTAGGTTGTTAGCATATTGAATTTGGTATTGCTTGTAAGCCCAAGTGTTTAAGTTTGTTTGTACTCTAAGTTAGCTTGTAAGGGGTAATTGTTAAAAAAAACCATTAGATTAGTGTGCTATTTTTTTTATTAAAAGGATGTTAGTTTCTCAATCTTGGAATAAGGAAAAATAAGAAGATAAAATCCTAATTTTAAGAGAGGTTATTTGTTATTCTTGTATACTTGTAATCTTGTTCTAAGAGTAAGGAAAAAATAGCAGTTTATAACCAATCTTTATTGTTCCTTGTTGTTTTACTTTGTCTTTTTTGTTAACCCTAACTCTTGTGTGTTTCTTGATCATTAAGAAACTGTTTTATACTTTGTTATAAGGTATCTGATTCACAACAAATTGGTGCGGTGAGCGTGGAGAAGAAGATGCCTTCAATAAAGTATGAAATTGAAAAGTTCACCAGAGTGAACGACTTCGGTCTGTGGCGCTTGAAGATGAAAGTCATACTGGTTCAGTAGGATTGTTTGAAAGCGTTGAAGGGTACTGAGGCAGCCATGGACGTTGTGTTAACGACAAAAGAAAGAACGGGAATGATCGAGAAAGCCCACAACGCAATATTGTTAAGCCTTGGTGATAAGGTTTTTCGACAGGTATCAAAGGAGACTACAACATCGAGATTATGGGTGAAACTTGAAAGTTTGTATATGACCAAATCCCTGGTGAATCGACTCTACCTGAAGTAAGCTTTGTATTCATTCAAGATGAGTAGTGTTGATTGAGCAGTTGGATATGTTCAACAGGCTGATTCTTGATCTTGAAAATATTGATGTGAAGATCGATGATGAAGATCAAGCACTATTGTTGTTGTGTGCTTTGCCCAGAACACATGCTCACTTCAAAGAAACTCTCTTGTATGGAAGGGAGTCTCTGACCTTTGAAGAAGTTCAATCAGCCTTGTATTCTACGGACTTGAACGAACGAAATGAGCATAAACCTTCGACGGTGGGCGAAGGTTTGGCCGTTAAGGAAAGATTCTTGCGAAAGGATGGTAAGTTCGACAAGAAGAAAGGTAAAAGTCAACAGAAGTCTTATAGTGGTGAAACATCTAGTATTTGATGTTATCACTGTAAGAAGGAGGGCACACAAGAAAGGTGTGCCCTAAACGCCTGAAAGATCATAGAGGTAATGGTAACGCAACCATTGTTCAAGATAACTTCGACTCATCTGATGTTCTTGTGGTTTCAAGTGGCAACTCGAGAAAAAAGTGGATTATGGATTCAGGTTGCACTTGGCACATGACTCCAAATAGAGAAATGTTCGAGGAGCTATGTGATCAAGATGGTGGATCTGTGTTGCTGGGAAACAACAAATCTTGTAAAATTGCATGTATTGGATCTATGAGATTCAAGCTTCATGATGAGTCAATAAGGTTATTGACTGAAGTCAGGTATGTGTCTGAAGTCAGGTATGTGTCTGACTTGAAGAGAAATTTGATTTCTCTTGGTGAATTCGACAGAAAGGGATACGTTTTTCAAGGAGAGAAAAGTATCCTAAGAGTCATGAAGGGGTCGAAGGAAGTCTTGAGAGGCGTGAAGAAACAAAGCTTGTATACCCTTGAGGCTGAGGTTGTAAGTGTCGCATCACTGCGAAGAGGGGTCGGCAAGGACAGAAGAGTCGCCACCGTTCGTTATTTATCCCAAAAGAGGGAAACAAAACGATCAGAGAAAACCTACGAAAAAGGGAAAGACCGGTCATCGCAACCAAATCTTGGGTTCGGGAGTCGGTTACGCAAGAGGAAGGTATGAGCACCCCTCACGTCCGTTGTACTCAACGGGATCCACGCTTGTTATCTATCTAAAAGGGTGTTTATCTATCTAAGTTACAGGCCACAGGGGCAAAAGAAAAGAAAGAGACTCAATAGAGCATTGTCGCTCTATGCTTACGTACTCCCTCGTGCAATGGGAAAGTCAGAGTCAACATAGTTCAGAAAACTACGGGTGAAGGTGGGGAAGGTTGCTCACCAAGACATCGCGTCTTGTGCCTACATATCCTTGTCTGGTACGAGAAATAAGAGCAAACGTAGTTCAGGCTAACATGACCACAGGTTGGTTCAAGTGTTTTACCCGAGTAGGGTTAAAACTTAGTTCTAACAGTTAGGTGTATGCAGCTCGACCATTGGAGAATTAGGCGTTACCTGTTTGCGGTAGAACCATAAGTTAACTAAACTCTCCTTATAAAAAAAAGTTTCCATTAATCCCGAAGGATAAAAAGGTTTTGTGTTTGTTTTAGAGTCTTTTATGAAGAAGAAATGAATTGAATTGTGTTTGTAATTCATGTTGCACTAAAGACTATGACTTAGGAGCGAATGCATCGCATATCGTCCAAAGGACATACGCTAAACACTCTACACAATTGAGAGGAGGCCCCCAATCATCATTTCCCAAATACTTAAGACTCGTACCATACAACATTCATTATCCTTTATTAAGTGTCTTGAAGAAGTTTTGAGATGAGAAAAGAGAGACACAACTCTAAAGGGAAACTAAACTCAACCTAATGTTCTCATGCAAAGTACACCTATGATTGAGATGAAAAGGGAAGACTACCCTAATGTTATCATGCATGGGTTCAAACCTAATGTCTATCATAATCAATCTTGGACAAGAAAGATTAGAGGTCCTAAAGGAACATGGCAAAGGAAGAAAGAAGAAGAAAGCATAAGTGAAAGAAGAAAGAATGCAAACATGCAATGCAAAACAAAAATAAAGAAAAAGGGAGGAACAAAGTGTGGGACAGTAGCCACCACAAGCACATCTCAACCTCTTAAATGAAAACAAGAGATGCAAAACTAAGAAGAAGAGCAAACCAAAGAACTTAAACAAGTTCAAGCCAAAATTGGGATGAAGTGGGAGAAATAGAATTCCTACAACCACTTGTACATCAATCACTAACCAAGGCAAAGAAAAAAAGAAGAAGAATAAGGCATGATCAAGGTGAGGATGGGAGATAAGGCTTGGGCAGAAAGCAACACAAAATTAAACTCAACCAAAGGCATCACTGTAACACCCCACTTTACCCCGTACGCGTAATATAATAAATATATAGAAACAATTCATGAAATTCATCAGAGTTCTCCAACACAGTGGGATATCACACTAAGTCACTTCATTTCATTAAGATAATCAATATTATTTAGTTTTCAATTAAGCAGCGGAATACAAATCAATTCTCCAATATAATTCTCCTCAACACGAGGTCATACAACATAAGTCCAACAAATGAAGATACGTAACAATAAACAAATAAAGTAGTCAAATAACAACGTAATCCCGTCATCCCATGTTACGTATCAGAGCGACTCCTAAGACTCGATCAAATAGCAACACACTCCAAGCACTACTCAGGTACCTGGTCACCTGTACTCCCAAGAGAGCACAGACACAACAACAAAAAGGAGTGAGAACTACATTCAATAAATAAACGGTGAAATACACATGCTAAGGAGTAGTTACACACCACACATAAAATAAGCACAAATAACGCACATACACGTGCCACCTTAATCACTTGGCATTCATAGCCCACATTCAATTACAATAATGCAATGTGACTCACTGACTCGACACAATGCATGTGGTACCAACACAATCTCATACGGTTCACACTAGAACCCGATTCCCGTCGGAATCCAGATAAGTCGTATATACATTCCTCTGAACTACAACTTATCTCCACAGCAACTTCCACAATGATGTCCGGATGAAACTAGGCACCCATCATGGATTCCCACCTAGCCATCTCCACAAGACACGTGATATGAAATGCATGTCAACACAATTATGCAATGTAATACATCATGCATAATTCACGATCAATCTTGATCCACACGAGCCATCTGCTCACCGTAATCCTCTCGGGAATTACCACAATTGCACAAGATTGTCCATATTCGACCATCTTGGCCCACATCTATCAAAACACCAAGACATCATTGAACCAGAACATGATTCGTTACTAAAACATATACAC